TTTTCGGGGCTGTTACAATTAACCTTGTCGTCCCCATACTCCGTTCAGTAATCGACACTAAAAACATCATCGCCTCGATATCTCGTCTGGTATGAGGATGAACTATATCTCCCAAAATTTTTTCAGTATTGAACTTCTCAGCCTCGTCCGACTGAAGTAATGTCCACGATAGGGTTCTCTATGTATTAGGTCCGTCCACCCTTTCCTAGGATACCCAATAAGCTTTCATTTATTTAGATTCTCATTATCTAAACAACTACTAAAGCATACCAACGTCTCATTTTATATTCACAAATCAATTTAAATGACATTTAAGTAAGCGATATAGTTTATCATAACCAATAATCGAGTAACTAGATAACTGAATAAAAAATACAAGAGGAACAAAATAAACCAAATAATCGAGAAGACTATAGAAACTATCAATTTAAACATACACAATATAATAGTAAGCAAGTTAGAAAATACATACAACTAAAGAGGGAATTAGAACAAGGTGAGCTAACCAGTTCCGGCTCCACTAATAACCTGTAATATTTTTAGTATTTTTTAAATTTTTTACAAAATACATAATTATCGATTATTAATTCTTAATTTACCGTAACCGAGAATAGGGTAAGGGATCCTTACTCGGATCAGTATTTTAAAATATTGTGCTATCTACTACACTTCCTAACGGGTCCTGAATTTTCTAAATGTTTCTTGCAGGAATCCAAAATACTCATCACGTACCTAAAAATACCTCAAAAATCTAAAATTGGTGTTAAAAATTCTTTTCGACCAATTTTAGGGTTCTGACATGTGGTGTCGCTGTGCTCCAGCGCTGGCTCTGGTGCCCATGGCGGCAGTTCGCTTCAACCTGGTCAGTTTTAGCCAGTTTGGATAGGTTTGGCCGATTTTACACGTATCCCTGCAAAAAAATACATTAAAAAGTCTCAGTTGGCAAAAAAATCACAAGAAATCGAACTTACCAGCGAGGGGATCTCTGGGTGCAGTGGTTTCATCGGTTATCCTTCGCAGTTGGGGTTTCTTATTTGAATAATCTGCATAGAAAAAGACGGTGAACACAATGGTCATAAAATTGAGTAAAACGGGAAACTGGAAGGGCCTAATTGGATGGATTTTAGGGTTTCAGCTGCATCAGCTTTGCCGGTGATTTTCAGCTCACCTGCCATCTTTTTTGCTGCGATATGGCCATAGGGAAACTTGGAATCAAATTCCAAGCGGGAAGGAAAATTTTTTACCTTTTTTTGCGGTCGGTGGTGGCTCTAGTGCGGTGGCGATTGGGGGTCAGGGTCCTTTTCTAGCGGTTAGTTCTTCTCCTCCAGCAAGGGTAGGTGCGGCTAGAGTTAGGGTTCTTCTGTAACATGATGTTTAAGTACCTATCCCGTATCGATCTGGGTCGTCTGTTCGTGTTGATGCGAAGCAAGGAGAGTCGTCCAATCGTTGCATGTTTAGGCCAATTACGTGGGTGAATCTGGGTCGTTCATCGTGATTGATCTCATTAGTCTGATCGCACCTAAAGAGGGAATGCATCATAGCCGTTCGTGTGCGTGGGACGTGATTAGGATCGTTGGATCTCCAAGCACACGGATTGCCCACGTGGCGCTGATTTCAGCATGTCTTTCCATGCGTCGTGCTCTGGTTCGCTTAGATTGCTGACTGGGTCGTTTCACATGGCCAAACTTTCCCTTTTGGTGATTTAGCCACCTATTTTTAATTTTTCTTTCAAAAATACTCATAAGATTCAAAATTTCGCTCATTTTTCTCAAAATTATTTTCAATTTCATCCCTAATCAATTTTTCTCAAAAAATTCAATAAAAATAAATTAAAATAAATTGAATTAATTATTTATATAATTTTTTTATAATAAAAAGAAAAGTTCGAGCCGATTTTCAATACCGAGTATTATAGAACCAGTAACCGGTCAATATATAACTGTCCCTAGATTATTTGTGTTATCTATCTGTGTTATCTATTTGCAATGAATATCTTAATTACGTTTCTTGAATCATTGGGTCTTAATTTATATTCTTTATTAATTGATTGTTTCATTTTTTTATAATTGCGAAATATGAGTTTTGCACGTATTTAGTGACTAGATAGTAATGAAAACTTGTATATATAAACAATGTTGTTAAATTAAAGGGCTTACCGGGTGTCATAGGAAGGGGTATATGGACCTAGTATATAAGAAAAATCCTACCGTAGACATTAACCTCAATCAGACGAGTTTAAGAAGTCCCATATAGGAAGGGGTTAAGAATTGTTTGGATTACTCTAATTACTGGATGAGGTGTTGAGGCAGTGGTGTATTTGACGCCCATTATCGGACGGAATATGGGAACGACCGTTTGATTTATTGAATGAATGTTTGGTCCACGTATAGTAGAACCCCTATGGACCCTCAACGGCATCGGTAAGTAATTAAAAATGTAAATATTAATTACTGTTGGTCTTTTAGAATGTAAATGCAAATTACTATCTGATTCTTATTTTCATAAATAGCATCTGAGAACTTATAAATGAGTGAGGAATTAATATTTTTCAGTTAAATGAATTTATTTAAGAAAGAAAAATAAGCTCCATTGGTTGTTTTACGATTTTTACAAATCTTTAATTTTTCGTATCAGTGGTAAGGCGTTGATATTCTTACTAAACTAGTTTACCTGACTCTTTTATTATTAACTATTTCATATCAGGATGATCAAAACCTGGACTCTGAGTAGTAAGAAAACTAGCTAAAAGATTACCTCCTTATTCTCCAATTATGCAGCAGAGGTTGATCACATAGGTTTTTCGAATTATACTTTGTCATTTATGTTCTTTAAGGACAGTCCCGTAGCCTTATTGAACGTTTTAATCAAATTTTACAAGGAATGTAACCATAAATTCTAAACTATTTTCGTAAATTAATAAATTTCAGTATTATTTTATTACCCATATTTCGAATTTTTACATTATTCCTTGTGCCTTAGACATGAGTAATGACAACCCTTGTTGGAGTCTAACAAAGAATAAATATTTCACTATTAAGTATTTGTATAAGTAGTTGTTCGAGCATGAAAGTAATGGCATTAGATTCTCATTCAAACAAATTTGGAAGTTCTGAGTCCCACCTTGTGTATTATGTCTTTTGATAGTAAACAAATTGAGAAGGCTGGACAAAATTATGGTGAATACTTGTTTATCTTTGTAAAAGGGCTGGGAAAATGTGTAACCACGTATTGCTCTCATGTATAGTGGTGTACAAGTTTTGAATTATGGTTAATGCACTTTTAGGCATCAAATAAGTGATGTCATGATATATAAGAGATGAAATTTGGGCGTGGAATGGCATCAAAGAACGAAGGAAACAAACAAATTAATTCTGCTCTCTATCTTTTGGGTAGTTTGGAAGGAGAAAAAAAAAAATGCATTTGAAGAAGTTAATGATGTGAATGGTTTTGATTTAATTAGGAATAGATAATTTCACACCGGTTGATTTTTGTTACTAGGCCATCCTCTCTATTCCACCAAAAATTTAGAAGACCTCATTGATACTTTAATAGATATATAAATATTTTATATATAGGTTGGTACCTCATTGGTATCAATTTTTAATAATATTTTTTACGCTTTATATTTAAATATATATATATATATATATAAATATGACATGACTCTAATATATTCCCTATTTTATTAGAAAAAATTTCTTTTTTTTTTAAAAAAAAAAAAAGATTACGTATTTTCAAAAACAATTTTTTTTTTTTTGTTTTCTTTCCTCGGTTCCATTTGTAAGTTTCTAATTTTCTCTTTTTTTTTTTCAAAATAAAAAATGAAATGTAGACATAATAAATAAGCAATGGAAACAACCAAAATTTTGTTACAAAACAAAAATCAAAATAAGTGAAATAGTTTGTTTAGACTGATTTTAACTGAAAGAATGAAACTTAGTAAATAATTTTGAGGGTTTTATAATTCTATACATAATATAAAAACTTAAATTATATATCAAGTTTTTAGGTCATCTCACTCTTAAATTTTATAAACTTAAATATTGATGGAATTAATAATGCCCATCTCTCTTAGTTCTCTACTTTGTCCATACTTTTAGTAGATGTAATGGAGTTGTATTTTATTCTTTAATTATTTGATTCATAGTATTTAGTCCTAATAAATTAAATGACTCCACACATTGTCTTCAATTTTATAATTACGGATTTACATTTTTATTCCATGTATATACATGAACGACGAACTTAAATTGAATATAGAATTGACTTGAAATTGTAATCTTATTCTTATATTCCTAATTTTATTTATTGTAATTGTAATTTTTTATATATTTTATTTATTTTTTTTCCTTATAATTGTCAAGTTATTAATTTTCCCAATTTAAGCTATAATTCAATCCGATATCTACTAAAAAAAGATGTAAATCCCCTTTAAAAGGTTTAATCGATTAGGAAAATTGACATCAATTCAAGATTTGCATGCTTGATTTGGGAAATTATTTAAAAATACACGTCTTCAATACTGCCTGCTTAGGAAACTAAAATGTGAAATTTATGCCATCTTTTGGAAGCTTTTGATTTTCCTTTTTCTTTACCTTTTATATATACGTGTGTGTGTGTGTGTCTGTATATATGTATACTAATGTATAAACCATATTCATACTTCCTAAAAATATTACATTAATTAAAAAAAAAAAAAATCAAAGTAGATTATAATACCATAAATTAAAAAAAATAATCTAATTATATTAATTAAAACCAATAAAAAAAAAACATGTTTTAATGTTAAAAAAGAAACATACACGTGTGAACGTGATCATGGAGATGTGAATGTTTGAGAACAGAAGGTTGACTTTCAACCGGAGAAGAGCCCGGCATCATGATGACATCATGATGATGATTATCATGATTGATCCAATGAGGACAGGAGGGTCCCACCGCCGTCCCAACTTCCTCTTCTGTAAGTTGCCATACCTGCGTGCGTCTATCCACACACGCAAGCCATAAATAGAGAGAGATGTATGTGTGCGTATGCGTATGCGTATGCATATGCATATGAACAGAGTTTTACAATCAAAGGCTTCATCTCTGAGATTCATCATGAGTTTTGACAGACCCAGAACGGTGGTCAAGCAGATTTTGGCCAAACCTCAACACGAAGGCAAAGGTGCCGTCGTACGCCGAGCCATCGGAAGGTAATTATCAAATTATATTAATAATTAAAATTAGAATATGAAATATGCTTGAATCTTTAATTTCTTATCTCTTCTTTGCCTATTCAATTCAGGGGAGACTTGAGGACATTGGACCCATTTATTATGTTGGATGAATTTTCAGGTTCTTTGGCTTCTTTTTACTTCAATAATTTTTTCAATCACAAGATTAAAATCATCTGTTTGTATCCATGGAGCTTTGTTGGGTTTTTTCAGATTATATTGAATGAATTGTTAATTTTGCAGTGTCACCTCCGGCTGGATTTCCAGATCATCCGCATCGAGGTTTCGAGACTGTTACATACGTGTTACAGGTATCCTTTTATCGACAATTAATCGTATTATAAATTAATCTACCTAATTAGAAACTAATTTCTGGTTTTGTAAATCATTAACCTTCCAAAACAAGAAATTAATTTGTGATTTGTGTTAAATCTCAGGGAGCCATTGAGCACCAAGACTTTTCAGGGCATAAGGGGACAATTCATGCTGGTGATGTACAGGTAATTTAATAACATTTAATTGAATTTTTTATTAGAAATTTTTTGTTATTATCATTAGTATTACGGGTTTTATGAAATTAATAAAATATATTAAAGAAATTAATTTATTTAGATATTAATCCATTTTTAAGTAATGTCATAATGTTAATGTTGTAGAGTGTGTTGACTTTTTGTGTTGTGTTTATACTTGTGAAATAATTTTAATTTTGATGGGCGCTTTCTTTTTTTGACTCAGTGGATGACAGCTGGGAGAGGAATAATCCACTCCGAAATGGCCGGAGGAGATGAACTCTGCAAGGGATTGCAGCTGTGGATCAATCTATCTTCTCAAGACAAAATGTAAGTCACTTCATATACATATATACACGCCTAAAATAGCATTTATATAGAAAATTGCAGGATGGAACCAAAATACCAAGAAATGCCAAGTTCAGAAATAAGATATGGAGAGAAAGAGGGGGTGACAGTCCGAGTAATAGCAGGAGAATCAATGGGGATTAAATCGCCAGTTTACACCAGAACACCAACAATCTTTTTAGATTTCAATCTTCAAAGTGGAACCCAGTATGAACAAAGCATACCAGAAACATGGAATGCATTCATATACGTCATACAAGGAGAGGGCATGTTTGGTTCTCGCAAATCATCTGCAAATCACGTTTTGGTTCTCAGTTCAGGAGACGGTTTAGTAGTGAAGAACACATCTCCAAACCCATTAAGATTCATTCTGGTTGGTGGTCAGCCTTTAAATGAGCCAGTGGTTCAACATGGTCCGTTTGTTATGAACACACAAGCTGAGATTGATCAAGCCATTGATGATTATTATCAATGTAAAAATGGGTTTGAATTGGCTAAGACATGGAAATCTCAGTGACTTCCAAACATGTCCTTAATTTTACTATGAAACCTAAAAAACTATTCCATAGCTTGCAACAATGGAGGATGAGAAGGAAAGGAGATGGTGGAGAAGACAAAAGAAATTTACTTTGGATCAGTTTATTAAGATATGCTTTGTTATAATTATTATTATATTATTATTTTTTCCTCTGGGGTTCTTGTGGTTAGAACCGTTATGGTGTTTTTTATATTCTTTATATATAAAAACATATATATATATATATATATATATATATTGGTTTTTGTTTGAGTTGGATAGGACTGGACTTTTTTTTTTTTTTTTTGGGAGTCTGATTAAAGTTGGCCCCTCCACCGGTTGGTGGAATTTGCATATTGCTTTCTGTTTTTACCCTTAAATTATATATATATATATATATATATAATATAAGTTGAATATAAATTGATATATTTATTAATTAAAAATATATACATATAAATTATAACATAACATTCTACAGAAAATAGATAAAATTGGTTATCATATTTGTAACCATTAATATTACTACAGAAAATAAAGTAATTAAGAAATGAGAAAACTTTTCTAAGAATAAATCTTTTACCTTGGCCCATCCATAAAATTAATATAATAAATAATAAAATTTATGACAAAATCATTAAAGTTAAATCAATTTAAAAAAAAAACAAAAAAAATTTAGCCACGGGTCGGTCCAAGCCTGGCCCATCATAGACAGGATATGACGGGGCAGGCCTAAAACTTCTAATTTTGGGTCCTTGGTGGCCCATTTATTGAGCCTAGCTCATCATATTCTAACATTAATAAATTTTGTAAAATTTATTTTCAGATTCAATTAAAAAATAATATATATTTTGATGGAAATTAAAATATATATTATATGGGTGTCATATAGAAATTCACATGAGATTAAATTTTATTAAAAAGATTTTCACTATCTTTTAGTTACACTAATTGTAGATTTACAAAAGATTACTTGTTCCAAATATATCAGAGAAAAAGTTTAAAATGATTTTCAAAATTTCTTTTAATTGTGTTTTTTATTTTATTTTAATTAAATGATCCAAAAAGGATATTTGACACTTTGAAAGTCAACTTCTAGAAGGCTGGGTGGGTGGTGATTCCACTGAAGTAATAGTGGGCAATTAATTGGCCTTGGCAAGAATTTGGAGAATTTCAACATCCCTCTTCTCTGTTGACTTTCAAGAATTTCAAAGCCTATAAAAAAATTTTATTGACTTTCCATGGTTGCTTCTCTTTATAAAGATTCTAATTATATTAGAATAATAATAATAATAAATAAATAAATACTTACAAAGGCTGTTTTCAAACTAAAATTTTGCTTTAAATATTGTTTCCTACATAACATTTTAATTTGTGAACTTACTTTACATTTTGCTCCATATGTAAAAACTAAACTATATTTAATTGGTGCTTTGTGTAATCCCCCCTTCATTTGGCTTGACATAAATGTTCATAATCTTGTA